ATGTTTAAAAAAATTTTGTGCTATATTTTAAAGTCAAATGGTCCAAAATAATATTACAAATGTTTAGTATACCATAAATAGATATTTTTCTAAAAATAATTTACTAATATAATATAAATCACATGATATGATATGATTCAATATTTAGCAACTTTTTAAATCAACACATTTAGATTAAATGAACATGTACAAATACTATCAATTTTGATTACAACTATGGTGAATTGATAATAAGTTATTATTAATAACACAACAAAAACAATTCTAAGCAAATATTTTGTGTATACTGCACAATTAATCATACATGTTATAGTGAGTTAAACTAATACAATTAAAATTAATATTATTAAACTTATTTGTCAATTGTCTAGCCTCTAGTCTAGACGCATGTTTATGTGTTGTTATTAAAATAGATTATATAAGTATATTTATTATTTTAAATAGCTGTACTCCGTACATTATTTCAAGGATCAAGATTTTACAACAAATATGTAACATTACAACTTAGTACTACAGTATATTTAATATGCCAATATAAATACTACGGTGCGTATATATATATATATATATAGTGAGCATATATTATTGTCATCCATTTATATTACACTTTTGTAAGACTAGTTTAAAATCATACACTCAATTCAAAACTGTAATTAAATTGTGCACCTTTAATTTAGCTTGTATATTTTTACAATTAATTTTACATTGTTTCAAAAATATTTGTTGCAAAATGGCTGATATGTATGACGACAGGACAATGTTTGCGAGGACCGTATTTGGTGAGGCGTGCGGTGAAATTGAGCGAGGTCAACGCGGGGTTGCCTGGGTCATCATCAATCGGGCAGGGTGTAGGGATCCTGAAATTGTCCGTGGTATTTGCCTGGCTAAAAACCAGTTTGAATGCTGGAATACCGGTGCGCAGATCAATCGGATTAACACCAATATCCAACACGATCTCAATGGTTACGCGAGTATCCGACAAATGACCAATGACATTTTGGATGGTCGCAATGTGGATAACCCTATTGGAAATTGCAAGTACTACAATAATCCAGCTATAGAGATGTGTCCAGTGCATTTGGTGGGCAAAACGGCCAAGTACATTATTGGCAAGCACCATTTCTACGATCTACCTTACCCTTAATGGTATATTGATGTTGATGTTAATTGTATTGTAGTGATAAATTGTGGCATTGTTAATTTATTATTGAAATTTTTATTGATAAATATATTTATATAATATGTTGTAATTGTTGGGTTTAAATGACACATACCTAACATTAATTATTTGATAAAAAGTTAGATTTGAAAGTTTATTATTGGTATAAAAATTATTATATAATATGGGTTATAATGTGTACCATACACTGTATTGCTTGGTTGTATTTTAGTACATTAAATTTTATATATTATTTTTCAATGTCATTAAAAAAACTTATAATTTTTGTGTTTTTAATAAAAATTATATTAGTAGTATTAAATTTAAAATTATGTTTATTAAACAAAAATAAAATTACAACATTTACAGTTGCGTAAAAAAAGTGAACGTTAAAATAAATAACAAATCTTTAAATAAAAATTTTACTTTTATTTTCATAGATGTTTTAATTTGCACACATTTTTGAGTTATTAATACTGTATAACAATCTTACAGTATTTGCAGATTATAATGAATCATGAATTAAATAATTTCAAATATTAGATAACCAGCATTGCAAAATAATTTGTGTGATTAGCGATGTGTTTATAGTATTTTTAACGATGTCACTTTTATAAATTAGCTGTAATATTTTATTTATATTTTTAATTGACATAGATTACACTAACTTATTGACTCATTCCTTAATTGAATATTATACATACTTATTTAAAAATTTAAAAATCTAAAGTAATTGTTTGATATTTTTGGTAAATTATTTTTGTCGGTCATTTATAATTTCAATATTGATTACAACTATAGAAATATTACTATAGATAATTAAACATCAAAAGCATAAACATACTTTGCAAATATTTTTTGTATACTGAAAAATTAATATGCTTACATGTTATAGTATTTTAAGCTAACACAATATAATTTAATATTATATAAGCTTTTTGTGAGTTGTCTAGACTAGAATAGATTAATTATTGCAATAAATATATCAAAATAAATAGTTGTACTACCCACATAAGTACCAAGTCCCAAGATTTTGAAATATTGTTTATATGAGTAATCATCATCATTCAATAACCTAATGCAACAACTGTACTATGTTACGTTACAACTTGGTAATTATCGTATAACATTTAATTTAATATGATATTTAATATATAAAATATTGGTATATATACATTATACCATGGTATATATATACAATATATATACTATTGGTATATAATAGTATATACCAATTATATACTATTATTGGTATATAATAGTATACCAATTTAGATAAAACAGTGGGTATAAATAGTTGAGTGTGTATATGTTACCAAGCAAAATATAAGACTTATGGGAGTACCGTATTTATGTGTATTTAAGAACCGGTTCTTATATGTAAGTTTGAGAGTGGGGGTGGTTCTTATATTCGAACATAAGAACCATTGATTTAAAGGCAAAATTTTTGGCCAAAACTACATAATTTCACCTCGGAGTGGACGGCAGACGCCGTAAACATAATAAACGCCAAAATCAATACAAATATAATTATACAGTAAATGATCACTATTTTGGCAATTAGTAGGAACTGTACAAATATTATGCCAAATATCCCAGTAACAATAACAGCCCCTAATAACAGGTAAACAGCGCACAGGTATTTACTCCAATAAGTCTTATTATAATCATCTATTTCGGCATAAATCTTATACAATGAACACAAAATATTTTTAACATTTATTATTGTATTTGTATTTTTATTGGAGTAAACTCTGTCCACAATTTGTTGATTCATTGTTTTTAAATTAAGTTTCATATGAAAGCACATTAAATAGAAATAGTTTAATAGCCATAAACTAAACGAAAAGTTTGTGTCCATTAATAAGCACAAGAATACGGTGTTTGGGATTCCGTACAGAATTGTATGCAATGCCGATGTCTTCATAATATACGGCATAATACACATCAGACCCATAAATGGCGCGGTTTTACGGCATATAAACCCGCATATTGTGAACCAAACCCGCGATCTCTTAAGCAATATATTTACCTTTAATTGGTCTACAAGTCCAACACTCGCGGGGGTCACCAAACCCGCCATCATTTCAAATACATTCAGAAATATTGGTTTAATACCTCGCTTATAATTATAATAAAATATCTGCCGTATAGTTACATTTAATATTACCCATATGATCGCGGCAATTTTATAATGGTATTTATTTCCCATTAATCGGAAAAAGTCTCCCAATATTATATAAACTATTGGATAATTATCGGGAACAAATAATAATATTATTTGCACCATGATATATAGACACATAATAGCATTAATAAATATTGGGTTTCTAAACCAATGCCTTGGACATTTGTATTTATCATCCATGTACGCGCCATATTCATATAAATATGTATGTGCTCGATCAATTAACTGATTTTTAGGCAATAATTTATTGGAGTCTATGGTTGAACGTTGAGATATTCTGGGAACTTTTGTACCGCGTTTCATTTTTGTTGCTCATTAGCTAGATAATCTAGCAAATTTGAATATACAGCAAATTAATTAATCATACCGGTATAATGTGCAATAAATAATCAAGTAATTAATGCTGTTTATGGTAAAGGTATAATAATTTCATAAAGGTTTTTAATTATAAGATATTTTTTGGTTGTACCTATACCTATCAAGATATTTTAGGAGACTTTCATTATTATAAGAGACAAATATAACAAAAACTATTTTCACAAACTTCGTAGCTAATTTATACATACAGTATATGTATTAAGTTAAAATGAAATATTATAAATATAAAATAATGTTTATAACATAATTCATGCAAAATATGTCAATTAAGATAACTGTAGTGGACACAATTCACCAATAAATAGTATATATATCGTATATATAATATATAATAAATGTCAAATAAATATAATTTATGATGGTCTATTATTAGAAAAATATAATTATCTTTTGTTAATAATGATTTTATTTTATCATTAATCAAGGTACTGTATTGAATATATCGATAAAATATAATATTTTTCCTAATGCTCTCATGTAAATAAAAATAATATAATTTTAAATTAATATAATATGGCTAAATGTTTTTACCCTACTTTCAAGATTTTATTGAAGTTTTATTTAATTATAAAATCTAATCAGAAAAATTATTTATTTAATTTTTAAATCAATATAGTTATCATTATTTTTTTTAACAATAGCTATAGTTTATCATTAAAAGTATTTTATAGTTATAAGTTATAATTATAAAATGCACTAATTTGAAACTTAATTTTTATTACCTTATTTTATAATTATCAATTTCATAAATTAAAATTTATTTTTTAAAATGCACATGACTATTATTAGTAATAATAATTATTAATGTTTGTCATATTATTTCAAAACTTTTATTATTATTGGTAATACTATTGTATTAATATACACTTATTGATTAAATATATGTTTTTATAATTTACATAATTATGTCAAAATAAAATATAATAATGCAATGTATAGTGAAATAAATGATTTTAAACATTTTATATTTTATTAAATTATTCCCGATAATTATTCGGGAACATTTCATAGCAAAATATATTTATTTAATTGGCATTTAATAATTGTTAGTATTGAATAAAAAAATTGAAATGTTATTTTTATTTATAACAATTTATGTATAGAAAATAAAAATTAATTTGACAAATTAAAAATTAAATATAATTTTGAATTATTACACTAATAAATTTATTGCAAAATACATTATATTATACGTATATAAGCAGGTTACAAATTATAAACTATAAATTATAGTCTAGCACTCAATAAAAAGTACAATATTTTTTCAGCATGCTCAGAAAACAATTATTTACCTTTATAAAACTGATGCCCGCCAATTTTAACAGTTTTATCGCAATTTTTCAAATGATCAGGGTAGCCCTCCTTATCCGGATTATTATAGTGATCAGAATTGCCAACCGGGTTACGGGTTTCCCTACCGGACAGTATATCATCGGAAAGTCGCTCCATTTTCGCATAAGTAGCTTGCTCATTTTCAATGTCCTTGCGCAACTTATCCCGGTCCTGGAAGCACTCAAACTGACCCGGTTTCTCGCACACGTCCTTTACTTGTGAACCGCCCCAATAGTCCTTATTAGCCTCGGCACGGTTCAAAATGACCCCGGCTACCCCAATTTGACCCTCCTCAGACTCACCCCTGGCCTCGCCAAACAGGGTCTCGGCTAAGGCTTTCTTATCAGCGTCGGTATGTTTCGGCATTTTCTGTCAAATGAATTTGATTTTTGAAAATCTAATTATAATTATAGAAAATGTTTTTTAATTACAATTTAACTTTTCAATAATATATCTGCAAAAGTAATACGAAAATAAGCCTTCAATGCTGCTTTAATATGACTGTAATAGTATTGAATAGTAGTTTACAGTCATATTAAAGCAGAATTGAAAGGACTTTCACGTAGTTTTAGACAAATTATTTATATTCTTACCGATTATTAATATACAGTAATGTTGTGTTAATTTAATGAAAATAATGCTAATATTTTGTCACCTTATATACTGTACGGTTGACTTGACTGAACTTGGTACATATGTGGGTAACACAAATATTTGATTAGATACTAATATAATTATTGCAATAATTAATCTATTTAATAACACATAAACATACGTCTAGACCACTCATAAATAAGCTTATATAATTGTTATAGCATTAATCATACAGTACATTTACACTTACATGTACTAGTACAATTAATTTTACACAAAAAATGTTTGCTTAAAATTGTTTATGATGTTTAATTATCAACACCATTACCGTAGTTGTAATCATTATTAAAATTATTTCCCACATGATTTATTAAATTTAAATGCAATGTTGATTAGAAAAGTTGATAAATATTATATGATATTACATTACAGTTGTAGAGTTACATTATTAGAAATAATTTTGTTTGCAATCAACTTATTGTTATTTTAAATATATTTTAAAGATTCAATTTTTACACTTTTTATATCAATAAGTGAATAAACTTACACAAATATAATTCATAAAATAAGATTAGAAATGACTTAGAAATGTGTGAAAATTCAAAGGCATCTATGAAAATATAATAATTATTTGTACGTGATGAATTATTTGTTATTTTATTGTTTACTTTATTTTATTCTACTGTGAAAACTGTAATTTTATTTTTGCTTAACAAACATCATATTATATTCGGTACTTATATAATTATTATAAAAACACAAACAAATTAGTAATTTTATTAGGCGTTATTAAAAAACAAGTTGGAAAAATTTCTCAAAATATTAAAATGTAATCAAACATACAATACAATGTATGTTATCTATTATAACCCTATATCATATAATAATATTTATATCAATAATAAACTATCATTACCATACAATTAGCATCATCAAAATCTACTATTATGGGTAAGGTAGATCGTAGAAATGGTGATTGCCAATGATGTACTTGGCCGTTTTACCCTTCAAATGTGCTGGACAATCCTCTTTAGCGGGATTATTGTAATACTTGCAACCGCCAATAGGGTTCTCCACTTTGACACCGGCCAAAATGTTGTTGGTCATTTTCAGTATCGTCGCGTAACCTTTAGCATCTGCTTTGATATTGTTGTTAATCCGATCAATCTGTACCTGGTCATTCCAGCATTCAAACTGGTTGGGTTGCAAGCAAACACCGCGGATAAGTTGAGAATTATTACCCCCTGCCCGGTTGCTGATGACCCAGGCCACCGCGCGTTGACCTTTCTCACTTTCACCGCACGCCTCACCAAATACGGTCATCGCATACACGGTGGCATCGTCTAGCTTGGCAGTCATCTTGGTAAAAATATTTTTAAAATAATTAATATAATTGATTGTAAAAATATTATATGAAATTTAAAAAGTAAACATTTAATTATAGTTTTGAATTTAGTGTATGAATTTAAACTAGCCTCACAAAAGTCTAATATCATATAAATGTGATGATAATAAATATCCACTATTTATACTTACGAAAGTATCTACTGTATATTGGCATATTAAATATAATATTAAATTGCATTACATTGCCAAGTTGTAACGTTACATATTAGTTGCATTAAATTATTGAATGATAATGATTAGTCATATAAGCAATATTTCAAAATCGTACGACTTGGAAGTTTCAAGTTGATACTTATGTGGGTAGTATAAATATTTTATTTGATATAATTATTGCAATAATTTATCTATTTGAATAACACATAAACATGCATCTAGAGTCTAGACAATTCACAAATAAGCTTATGTAATATTAATATTTATTATATTAGCTTAAAACACTATAACATGTATAACTACTTTTGAAGTATACAAAAAAATATTTGTTTAAAATTATTGTTGATGTTTAATTATCAACACCTGTACAGTATTATTTCCATAGTTGTAATCAATATTGAAATTATTCCTAATATGATTCATTTACTCTAAATGTGTTGTTTTGGAAAGTTGCTTAATATTGAATCATATCATATTACGATAGTAAAATATTTATAGCAAAATAATCTATACTTTGCTATATTGCATTTGCAATATAAGTACATATGCCTCCCTTTTTAACCGAAAGGGTTATCAGGGTGGGAAATGTTTAATGAATTGCTCAATAAATATTTTGACTCATAAAAATATAAGTACACATAAACATTTATCTAGTTTTTAATTTGATATTAAAAACTACTATAATATTACTCATAGGAAATAGTTGTTTATTATTAACACTTATCATAAATATTACACGATTGAATCATTAGTATTGATAGTGATTTACACTAATAATAATGTTTTTCTTTTACAATTATTTTCAATACATTTCAGGGCTCAATAGATTCAGACTATCAAGGCCAATTAGTTAAAATTAATACAAGCTTTGCAATTTTAAACCTAAAAATTATAAAATAAATTCTTATAAATATTATTTAGTGTTTATAAATATTTACAGTTTCAAGATATAATTTCTTATAGCATATAATTATATTCTGCAAAATTAACTACAATATAAAACTTTAAGTATTGCTTATATTTTGAACATTTCTGCCACAAATACTTTATTACAGTTTTTATTTTTAATTAAAATCTATTTTAAACTCTATTTAAAAGGTTTATTTATACGACAATTTTATTTTTACAGTTCTTATAATTGATTTAGCTTTTAATTTCATTATTAGTGTATATTTTTATATATATTGATACATGGTAGCACTTCCATGATCATAGTCGTATTCAAATTAATCTTTAATAATGAGTAATATTATATCAGGGATTATTGAAAAAATGCCATTGTTCCTATTATAATTCGTTATAATTGGACTCCAGATCATAGAAATGATGATTGCCAATAATGTACTTGGCCTTTTTGCCCACCAAATGTGCTGGACACTCCTCTTTAGCAGGATTATTATAAAACTTGATACGCCCAATAGGGTTCGCCACATTACCACCAGTCAAAATGTCATTGGTCATTTTGAGGATTTTTGCGTAACCTTTGGGATCTCGTTTGATATTTCTATTAATCCGATCAATTTGCTCCTGGTTATTCCAGCATTCAAACTGGTAGGGCGCCAAACAGACATCCCGTACAGCTCTGGGATTCCTACTCCCGGCCCGATTGATGATAACCCAGGCAACAGCACGTTGACCTTGCTCAATTTCACCGCTAGCCTCACCAAATACGGTCATCGCAAACACTGTCCGGTCGTCATAATTGGCGGCCATTTTGTTACAATTAACAAATAAAATTAATTGTAACAATATAAAAACTAATTTAAAAGTAAACATTTAGTTACAGTTTTGAATTGAGTTTATGAATTTAAACTACCGTATTTATGTGCATTTAAGAACCGGTTCTTATATCCAAAATTTAGTAATTTTTAGTTTCTCAAAAAGTCAGGTTCTTATACTTGAATATAAGAACCACCTAGTACTAGAGCCACATATAAGAA